GCTCCTGTCCCCGCTCGACCTCAGGAGCCCGCGGGCGTCCCGGCTCACCCTTACCTGGTGGTAGGGAAGCGCCTTCTGCAAAGCCCACGGCCGCGACGCTCCGCGCGGCTCCGAGCGCTCTCCTCCCTCCTCTTCCAGGCGAGCCGTTCTCCAACCCCTTGGCCCCCGACGGGCACGATGTGGACGACGCCCATCCCTTCCACCAGTGAGTACCGGGACTGACCCCTCCTGTGTCCCCTCCGGGTTCCCCCTATGGCTGGTGACTGTCGCTTTTCTTTTGCCCCTGCCGCAGGTCCAAGCTCACCAATGAAGACTTCCGAAAGCTGCTCATGACCCCGCGGGCTGCGCCCACCTCTGCGCCCCCCTCCAAGTCTCGCCACCATGAGTGAGTAGCTGCGGCCCCTGGGGCGGCCCAGCCCTCTCGCCCGTCGCTTTCTGTCCGTCTCTCCACGTCTGCACTCCGTAATGGGGCACTTGAAGGCTTGTGCAGGCAGGGTGTGAGGGGAGGGCTTTGCCCCTACTTCGTGCTCCGTACAAGCTGCCTACGCATTGATGCAGCTAACTGGATAAATAAGCTAGAACTATTAGGATTGACAGAGTGGAATTTGATGTGTTTTAACCTCTGTGGAGGATCTCCAGAGGCAGCCTGGGCTTTCTGTGCTGTGGAAGCCTTTGGGTACCTCAGTGCCCTGTTGTGGCCGTTCTCTGTCACCACCTTTGTGGCGGCGCAGCTCATGGCACGTGTGGCTTCTTGCCCCTCTCCAGGATGCCCCGGGAGTACAACGAAGATGAGGATCCGGCTGCTCGCAGAAGGAAAAAGAAAAGGTAAAGGGGGAAATCGATGTGTCGGGAGATGCTTTCCCATTTCATCCCCTTCCCTGGAATGCCATCGCTCTAACACCGAGGTCTTTCTCCAACCTAGCTACTATGCAAAGCTGCGGCAGCAGGAGATAGAGCGCGAGAGGGAGCTGGCCGAGAAGTACAGGGACCGAGCCAAGGAGAGGAGAGATGGCGTCAACAAGGACTACGAGGAGACGGAGCTCATCAGCACAACTGCCAACTACAGAGCTGTGGGGCCCACCGCAGAGGCGTACGTGAGCCCGGAGCCTGGCCTCGTCCTGCTCGTCTGCTCCGGTGCAATGCTCCTAACTGGCTTCCTTCTTCTTGCACAGGGATAAGTCAGCGGCAGAGAAAAGGAGGCAGCTGATCCAGGAGTCCAAGTTCTTGGGTGGTGACATGGAGCACACTCACTTAGTGAAGGGGCTGGATTTTGCACTGCTGCAGAAGGTGGGCCCGGGTGTTGCGCTTGGCAGTTTCACTTGTATTTCCCTGCCCATCCTCTTCTCTAGTGGCAGAGGGTGGGGAGAAAGTGATGGTCGCTGCTCACAGGCTCTTTGCTCCAGCGTGTTCCTGGAAGAGCTTGTTTTTTTGGTAGAGGATTTAGAGGGGCTGGGGATCTGGAGGAGGAACTTCTGGTGCTTCATGTGAGCGTTGGTCTTTAATGCTTGGTGGCCAGGTACGAGCTGAGATTGCCAGCAAAGAGAAGGAGGAGGAGGAAATGATGGAGAAGCCCCAGAAGGAAACCAAGTAAGTGGCTGAGGGCACTCAACCCCCTAGAGAGGAGGAGGAGGCAGACAAACACTCACTCTACGCTGCTCTTTCTTTTCAGGAAGGATGAAGATCCTGAAAACAAAATTGAATTTAAGACTCGGTTAGGTAAGACTGTGTGCACGTGGCTGCTCACCACCTTGCGTGGGTTGTGCCATGAAGGGTGGGAGAAATCTTGTGGGGTGGGTGGACAACTGAAAATCTTAGCTTGTTGGATGGGAGGCTCTGGCAAACAGGAATGTCTTTGTTGTGTAGAAACTGTGATTTTTGAGGGCTGGAGGAAGTATCTCTCCTAGCAGCTGATCTCTGGTCCGCTACAGATGCCTCAGCCTGGGCTTGTCCATGGCTCTCTGACCTGTTGCCTTCCCCCAGGACGGAACATCTACCGCATCCTGTTCAAGAGCAAGGCCTATGAGCGGAACGAGCTGTTCCTGCCGGGGAGGATGGCCTACGTGGTAGATCTGGATGACGAGTACGCTGATACCGATATCCCAACCACGCTGATCCGCAGCAAGGCTGACTGCCCCACCATGGAGGTACCCAGCTCGCATCCAGCTTTCCCGACTGCTCTGGATTAAATTGGCCAGGGTCTGGCTAGAGAATCAGCTGCTTCCTTGGGGGTTTCTTCCAGGCACAAACTACGCTGACCACGAATGATATCGTCATCAGCAAACTGACACAGATCCTCTCCTATCTCAGGCAGGGGACCCGCAACAAGAAGCTCAAGAAGAAAGACAAAGGTAGGAGCTCCCCTAGCAGGATGTTTTGGTTGAGGTGCAGCTCAAAAGAGCAGGATGTGTTTTGGTGGCATCGGACTTCCCTGCATCATGAGGTGGAGGACGGTCACTTCCTGGAGACCCCAAGCACCAGCTCCTGAAGAGACTAGAAGGGACTGACTGCAGGGAGCTCGGAGCTGCAGCAGTTGCAGCTGCTGCTGCCTCTCTCATGGTTAGGTCACAGTTCCTTGGGGAAGTGTCCCTTGGCAGGGAGGGAGGACCATGGTAGCTGGCTGGGAGAGTCTCATGTGATGTAGGAACCTCAGGAGCTCACAAGGGCCTTGTAGGGGCTTAGGAAGCAGGGTGGGGGCAGTGAAATAGTCAACGAGTCTATGGGGTCTATAGGAAGTGAACAAGCTGCTTCCAACCCTTGCTGTGTCTTTGCAGGGAAGCTGGATGAGAAGAAACCCCCTGAAGCTGATATGAAGTAAGTGACTCCCCTAGGGCTGTTGGGTTGTAGCTTTCTGCTCTTTGGAATCTCTCTTTGGATTGGGAGAGGACTGGATTTAAGAGCAAGATGCCTCTTTGGATGTCATTCCTTTGAGCTGTTTTTAGGACAAAGCTGGGGGCAAGCCTTGGTTTTAGTTCAGATTTGAAGTATGCAAAGGCTCTGTTACAGGAAGCAAGTCCAGGCAGTAGGACTGGCCTGGACTATGGAAAGCCATGGGCATCCTTGGCTATCTGCTCATGTTCCCTCCTTCTTGGTTAGGCTCCAGTTCAGGGGGAGGTGGTTTTGGCCCCTCCTGCTGCACCACTCCTAACTGGAGGCTCTTTTCTCTCTCTAGCATCTTTGAAGACATTGGGGATTACGTTCCCTCCACTGCGAAGGTGCCGCGAGAGAAGGAGCGGGAGAGGTACCGGGAGAGAGAGCGGGACCGGGAGCGGGACCGCGAGCGAGATTCCGACCGGGAGCGCGACCGGGAGGAGGAAAAGAAGAGGCACAGCTACTTCGAGAAACCTAAAGCTGATGATGAGGTGAGTCCCTGCTTACAAAGCTTGGGCTTTCTGGGCATTAGTGCTCTAGAGGCTCTGGGTGTCTCCCTGGTCGTGTCACCACAGGTGGCCCTGTTGAGCAGTCACTGAGCCCTATGCCACAGGCTGGTGGGTGGCTGGATAATTGTCCTCTTCAGCAGTAAGGCTGGACTGGAACGAGCTGCTGACTCTTGTGGCTTGTCCACTTACCGTGGACAGTCTCAGGTGGAGCTGCACATCCTGCAGCACTCGCCTGCCTCCAGCTACCCTGGGTAATGCTGATGTCTCTTCCTTTTCTTTCCAGCCTGCAGACGTCGATAAAGGTGAGTCGAGTCATGTGGATGTCTGAGTGACGCTGGATGTCTGAGCAAGCTGCAGGAGTGCTAATTAGCTCCATCTCTTTAGCCTGCATGAGCTCTCTGTGCTCTCACAGGCCAGTGCATTAGGAGGGACTGCCTGCCCTGAGGGATGGGGATGGGAGTAGAGAGCCTTGTGCCTCTAGGCTGGTGCATGCCTGAATGTGTGTGCAGATATTTTTCTGCTAGTAGACCAGCTTGTGCAGGCTGTAAATAAGGAAGTTTTAGGGTAAATAAGGAAGCCTTGGGATCAGTCTTGCAAAAATTGCCCCTCACTAGTCCTGCTTTGTCATCAGTCTGGAGTTTGTTGCTCCTCATTTTCTGCCTTGTGTGGAGCCTGTCCCTGCTGCCTGTTCCATCTTAGGATGGTCCATCCTGCATGGATTGGTGCTGCAGAAGGGAGTTCCTGGCAGCCTTGCATGTGCATCAAGAGGGGCTGTTCCCCCAGGAAAACTCACTCTGCTGCTCTCTCTACCCCAGGACCTGGCTCAGCCAAGGAGCTCATTAAATCCATCAACGAGAAGTTTGCTGGGGCTGCTGGCTGGGAAGGAACAGAGACATATCCTTTAGCAGCCTGCTGGACCGCAGGGCTGGGCATCCTTTGAGGCGAGCCTCGTGTGAGCACAGCTCCGTGCCTGCCCTCCCCCAGGCTCCTTTTGCTTTAGTGATGAAATGTCACCCTGACCTTGTTGCGTCTCTGACGCTACGTACGAATCTTGCAGCCTCCAAGTTCTTTGTGGCAGAGGAAGCGTACGGTTGTGGGGGCCCATCTCCATGTGAGGAAGAACTTCTTTCCTGTGAGGGTGCCAGAGCCCTGGAACAGGCTGCCCAGAGAGGCTGTGGAGGCTCCTTCCCTGGAGATCTTCAAGCCCACCTGGATGCCACCCTGTGCTCTGGGTGTCCCTGCTGGAGCAGGGGTTTGGACTAGGTGATCTCTAGAGGTCCCTTCCAATCTCAACCACTCTGTGATTCTGTGAATTGCTCTTTTCCTGGCTGTGCCCTTTGCTGTGGGGTTCCGGGGTGTTTCCCTGCTGTCGTTTTCCTTAACCAGTGTCACGCTAAAGAAGCCAGAAGACAAGAAGCAACTGGGCGACTTCTTTGGCATGTCCAACAGCTACGCCGAGTGCTACCCCGCCACGTAAGGGAGCCCCGGGGTGGGAGTGGGACATGCCACGGGGCTACTGCTCTCTGGCAGCAGCAGCTGGCGCGTCAGCCCCACTGGCACGTGCTGTCCCTGTTTGGAGGGGTTTGCCACCCTGTGCAACTAATGAAGTGCTCCCAGGTACAGGGGACTTCTCAGCAGGTCTTTGATAGAAACCTGCAGCCTCTTGCCTGTTCCAGTCCTTTCCCAGGTGGAGGGGGCTTGGAGTCTGCTCCGTGTCCTGGTAAAGGACGTTCTCGTTGAGCTCTGGGCACACTTTTCAGCCTGCAGAGTTATCTTGGCATAAGATAACTTAGTCTCACCTTGGATGCTCTTGTGTTCCGGGTTTACCCTTAGGGCTTGCAGGTGGAGTAGGGTCCCTGGAGCCTGTGTGTGGCCTGGGGCTCCGCACGGAGGGACGGCTCCCACCAGCTTGCTGCCTCGAGAGTTTTGTAGCTGCATCAGAAGGTCCTCGCCTGCATCCCAAGGAGCTCTCTCCAAGCACTCTCCTTGCTTTCCTTTTGCAGAATGGATGATATGGCTGTGGACAGTGATGAAGAAGTGGACTACAGCAAAATGGATCAGGTATACTATTTTTTGGACCTGGGAAGTGAGCTAGGCCACAGCGCAGGCTCAGAGGAGCCTGCAGGAGAGGGACTTTTTTGTGCAGAGGGGTTGGATGCTCTGGAGCTGAATGCTGACCGTGTTTCAGGGCTTGCTGAAGTGCTGTGTGCCTGGGACTGTGAAGGAGCTATTGCCTTGGGGAGCAAATAGGCTTTCTGCCAGTCAGCTCCTGGGGTGTGAAATAGTCTCTTGACTCTGTGTTCCACAGCATCTCTTCTTTGGGATTCCTCAGGGAAGGGATATTGGAACCAAATCCAGGCTTGGTGCTAGAGTCCTCTGTAGCATTGAACTGGAGCTGATGGGAGGTTGAGATCTCTCCTGGGTCTCCAGGGCTTCCCTGGAGAACACTGAGGAGCGACACGGACTCTCTTTTTTCTTTGCTGCAGGGTAACAAGAAAGGGCCCCTGGGCCGCTGGGATTTCGACACGCAGGAGGAGTACAGTGAATACATGAACAACAAAGAGGCTCTGCCCAAGTGAGTGCAGCACTTGCAAAAGGCAGGAGGATGGAGCTGGAGGAGGGGCATAGGTGGCAACCCGCCAAGGCTGTGCCCTGAGAGAGGTTAAATCAAGGGCAGGACCCCCTGGTGAGGGCTAGAGGAAGATACCCCAAATGTGGTGCCTGGTGGTTTGTCTCTGCTCTTGGTGTCTCCCTTTGGGATGTCAGCCCAGCCACTGTTCTAAGGGATCCCAGCCAGCTCTGTAACTGGAGCAGACCTGAGCGTCCATCCCGCTGTCAGCCCAGCGTGTCCGCTCTGCTTATTGAGTTCTCTGTCTCCCTCCTTCCTCAGAGCGGCGTTTCAGTACGGAATCAAGATGTCTGAGGGGCGCAAAACCCGTCGCTTCAAGGAGACGAATGACAAGGCGGAGCTGGACCGGCAGTGGAAGAAGATCAGTGCGGTGAGTGCCGCGAGCTGGGTGCTGTCTGCCTGGGCAATGGCCTGCTAACGACTCCAGGGGTCAGAAGCGTCCTCACTGAGCTCTGTGTTTGCTGGCATCTCTCTCTGGTCCAGCCTGTGTCCCTGCAGCAGGTCTGGCTCTCCAGAAACTGGGTCTGCCCCTTTGCCAGGTTGTCATCCAGACACAACTACTTGGGGCTCCAGGAACAAGGAGGTAGCCAGAGGCTCCCATTCTCTTGCAGCTCCTGGTCTGGGAGCAGCCCTGATCGGGGGCCTTTGCTCAGGGCCCTGGAGCTCTGCAGCAGATGAGGGTTTCTGAGCCATCTGGTTGGGCTTGGAGGGGACGGTGTGTGTTACTGGTTCCCTGTTTCCCAGCTGGCAGTGCTGGGAGCTCTGAGAGGAGGGTGTCATGGCAGGATGAGCTGCCTGGGAGAAACTTGATGGGACAAGATGGCCTAGGAGAAGGCAAAACCAAGAAGGCTAAGAAAACAGAGCCTGTCCTTGCTGGCCCAGGTGGAGCAAAGAGGAAACAGGCTGGGCCTCTCTAGGGCAGCTCATGGCACAGCTTTCCCTTCCCCCAGCTGGCTCTTGCCCAGTGCTGCAAGACCTGAGCCCCATCCTGCCTTTCCCTTGAAGGTGCCTTGCCCTCTGGAAGGGAGTTGCCCCTGAGTGGTTGCAGGCAGATGTCGGCACTCAGGGTAACAGGAGCTTGTGTTTATTTTTTATTTACTTTATTTTTTATTTTTTTCTGCAGATCATTGAGAAGAGAAAGAAGCTGGAGGCTGATGGGTTAGTATATTTGCCTTTGCTGTTAGCTCAGTAGGTGGTCAGCTCTGAGGCCTCTGTCCCCCTCACCAGCATTGCTTCCTCATCTTGTTTCAGGGTGGAGGTAAAAAGGCCGAAGTACTGAGGCCCTGGCTGCCTTCCCACGTCCCATCCTCCAGCTCCTGGTGCCCTAGCTCCCTGGATGCTGTTTCTAGAGCTCACTGATGTGCTGCAGGCTGCCTTCTCCTCCTTGCTCTTTGCTCCAGCCTGCTGTGCTGGGGGCCTGCCTGCCCAGTTTCTTCCCCACTTGGGAGCAGCTGTGCAGCCTGTGATTTGTACCCCTTGTACCTGCAATAAAAGTGTACTAACTTTGAGGGAATGTCAGGGGGGCGGGTGGGTGCCTGGGTGAACTGAGAGCTCGTGTTCCTTTCCTCACCTAGGAGGGCTGTGCCTGTCCCCAGCTTGTGCCCATCCCCTTAGGGCTGCTGCTGCCCTGGACAGGGCAGAGCCACCTCTGCTCCCTTGTCCCAGGTAAGGACATCCTGTGGGAGAGCCACCTGGGGCCGAGCAAAGAGAGATGCAAGTTTGACCCAGTCTGGTGCATCTCAAATACAAGCCTAAATACAAATAATTTTGGGTTCCAGTATGTAATTGCTGCTGGCCCTGCAGAGAAGGTGGAAACAAAGGAAGGAGAAATGATCTTTTTACCCTTTCTATGAAGCGGGGAGCATGGGGGCGCTAACTGTGAGAGCCTGGGGAGGAGTGGAAGTAGATCCAGCTGTCCTAGTGCTTGGAGAAGTAAATCCTCTTTTAGGGGCATTTTTGAGCCATATCCAAAGAAAAACAGCTGCTGAGCCTACCCCAGGCCCTTACCTGTTACCAGGCCCCTGTGTTATCAGGCACCGATTACCAAGGTCTTCTGCAAGGGGGTGCTGGGCAGCACCTTTGGGTGCCCCCAGGGCTGTCCTGGCCCTCGGTTGCTACCTGGCCCTGGCTCCTCCATTCCTGGACAAGGGGCAGCTGTGGAAAACGCAGCTCCCAGGGGCTTTCCGGCCTGGCCCGGCTGCCCTAGCTGTGCTGCCAGCTGCTCCTAGCCGCCTCCGGCAGCAGGAGCCTCCTGCTGTACAAAGCAGGAATTAAGGAGAATCGAATTAAAGGAGGGCCCAAAAGAAACAATCTAAT